GGGGGTCCCCAGTGGGGTGCCTGGCCAGCCTGGGTGAGAAGCTGATGGCTATTTTCAGGCTGCCCACACTCCCTTCAGGGTGGGGGTTCCCACTGGGGTGCCTGGCCAGTCTGGATGAGGGGCTGATGGCTGTTTTCAGGCTGGCCAAGCCGGCGACTGAAGCTCCCAGCCTCTCCTTTTTTCCTTTTTTTTTTTAATTCTGGGATTTATTTACCTTCTATAATTGAAACTTTGTTGCCGCTCCAGCTCCCAGGCCACGGCCTGCTGAAAGCAGGTATCTGGGGTTTGTTTAGCTTCTATAATTGCAACTTTGTTGCTTAGAGTGGAGCTCAGAGCCCGGCCACAGCAGGGAGGAAGCTTGGCTTCCTCCATCACTGGAGCAAGCAAGCCTCCTGCTCACTTCAGCTGCGTGGCTGCCGGCCGCCATCTTTGTTGGCAGTTAATTTGCATATATTGCTGATTAGTCAATGGGGAGCGTAGCAGAGGTATGGTCAATTACCATGTTTGTCTATTATTAGATTAGGTAGTTGATGAGAACTCCCCAAACCTATGGAAAGAGCTAGGTCCTCAAATGCAAGAAACAAAAAGAACACCTAATTATCCCAATCCAAAAAGTCCTTATCAAAGGCATATTGTATTAAAACTGACAAAATTAATGACAAAGAATTCCCAAGGCAGCCAGAAAAAAAGAAGAAAGTAATATGTAAAGAAAAGTTCATTAGATTACCATCAGACTTCTTAGCAGAAACTCTGTGACCTAGAAGAGAGTGGAATAAAATACTCAAACTACTGAGAGAGAGAAATTACCAGCAAAGAATAATATATCTAGCAAAGTCATCCCTTAGCTATAAAGTAAAAATAAAGACTTTTCCCAACATACAGAAGACCTCCATTGCAGAAAGTACCTAAGGAGCTTATTCTATCTGAAACAGAGAACTAAAGGTCTTAAACTATGAGTAAGTTCACCAACAAACAGCATAAACAGGGATAATGACAACAAAAACATAAAAGGGGAAGAGGTAGAGGTCTGAATTTGCAAAGAAAAATACATATCAGATACATTCAAAAGAAAAAGGACCACTGTATGTATAAAATTTTATTTTTTATAAACCTAATGGTAACCACACACACACAACCCAACATTGAGACACATAACTTAAAGAAAAGAGCCCAGCTGATGAGGCTCAGTGATTCAGCAGCAACCCATGAACCAGGAGGTCATAATTGATTTCTGGTCAGGGCACATGCCCAGGTTGTGGGCTCAATCCCCAGTAGGGGGCGTGCAGGAGGCAGCCAATCAATGTTCCTCTCTCTCCATCTCCCTTCCTCTCTCTAAAATAAAAACAATAAAACACATATTTTTAAGAGAGAGAGAGAGAGAGAAAGAGAGAGAGAGAGAGAGAGAACATAAGAATACTACCAAACAAAAATAACAGACACAATCACAAATGAAAAGAACAAATGGAGGTACATAGTTACCAGAAAACAAAAGATAAAATGGCTAAAGGAAATCCTCATACATCAATAATTATCCTAAATTTTAAAGAACTGAATTAACCAACAAAGAGGAACAGAGTAGTGGATCGTTAAAAAAACAAAACAGACCATATGCCAGCTTCCGGAGATATTTAAGATATAAAGACAGACACACTTAAAGTGAAAGGGTAGAAAATCATTCTCCAAGTAAATAGCATCCACAGAAAAGCAGATGTGGCCACACTTATACCTGACAAAGTAGATTTTAAGAAAGGAGACAAGAAAAAAAGACGGACATTTTATAAAGGGAACACTACATCAAGAAGACCTAACAGAGAAACCAAGATGGCGGCATAGGTAAACCCCTGAAATTGCTGCATCGCCCAACCGCTTCAAAAAAAAAAAAACTAAAAGACAAAACGGACATCATCCAAAACCACAGGAAGGCTGGCTGAGTGGAAATTCTACAACTATGAGGAAAGAGAAAAGCACACTGGTACTCAGAGGAGGTGCAGAAGTAAAGTGCAGAGGTACGGAGGCGCACGCGGAAAGGGCTGGCAACTGAGGACGCAGTTGTCTTTTTCAATCGGGAGGGAGTCTCAAGCTCCCGCTCTGCACTCCAGTTCCAGGCTAGTCTCCTGGGACCCAGACTCATACGGGGAGAAACTAGACCAGTGATGGCGAACCTATGATATGCATGTCAGAGGTGACACGTGAACTCATTTTGGGTGACACGCATAGACAGAGACAAAAAATTGCATAATTCAAATATTTGTCTCTCGCAATGGCCAGAGTTGGGCATCACTCGAGTAATATTATTACTCATGTTACTCATGATCAATAATGCAATTCTAAAACCAGATGTAAACATGTACATCGGTGTTGTGTAGCAAAGATACATAGTGAAAACATCCAAGATACATTGTTCCAATATTGACATTAATATAAAAAGGTTAAGAATTGCACTATAAAGAGATTAATCTTTACTCATGACATTTTATTTTTACTCGAGTGACAAAATGCCCAATTCTGGAAATGGCCTCGTTATTGTCAACATGTGCCTCGGGTAAGCTTCCCGTGCGTTCGGGTGCATTCGGCAAACGGACGCACTTGATAGCCATGTTCATTAGGAGACAGGAGTGGGAGGGTTAGAAGAAAAAGATATACAGTGCAACAGTGCTCGACGAGACATTCTGCGTGTCGGATAATTGATTACAGCACCATATATTTGTTGGTTATACATACTATCTTTGAATTGTTTTGCACCAGGAGTCAGTGCAACAACACTGCAAAAAGTTAATATTACAATGACGGTAAAGAACATTGACTCAAAATACCATCGACAAAGGAATAAACTCCCACTGGCAGTATAAATGCCTTAAAAATCAAAATTAAGCCACCTTTAAGTAAAACTAACCACCAATGAATAGATTCTGCTAAAAGGTTTACTAGGTTATTTTAAAAGAGTTTATGATAACAAAATTCATCATCTGAATCTAGTGAGGTATAAACTTACACCAAAGATTTATTTTATTTTTTCCAAAGATTTATTTTAAAATTCAATATTCCATGAAGATACTTTATTATAACTCCAAGAAATACTGAACCTCTGACTTCTAAAAAAAAAAAAAAGATTATAGCGTGAATTATAACATATGTATCAAAATGAAATTGGAGTAACCCATAATCCAGTAATTCCACATCTATGAATCTACTATACAGATTTCTACAAGCCCCAAAACATGCATGTCTGAGGTTGTGATAAACTGGAAATAACCCAAGTGTCCACTAATAGATGGTTATGTAAAATACAGCATCTATATAAGATGAATAACTAGAAGTATTAAGTACACTGTTAGCAATATGTATTTACTGATACTGAAAGGTGTCTTTGACTTCAATATTGGGTAAAACTAGCATCTATCTGTAAAACTGGTAAAATGTGCCAGTATTTAAGAAAAACTCTATACCTATAGCGATAATATCACATAGCGAGATGTTAGGAAAGCCAATGTAAATAAACATTCCTGAGTGTAGGATTCAGTGGATACTTTTTCTTTGGAGTTTTATACACTGTCTGGGTGTATTTGTGTTTAATTAGCATAAATCATTTAGAAAACCCTAAAAGTTATATAAAAAAAGATAAAGTCAAGGACAAGAGAAATGAATAAAGTATAGTACCTTAAACGGTTGGTGTAGGTATCAACACAGGTCTTCATTTTGGCTAATAATGTACCAACAGAAGTTTGACACTCTGATTGTTCTTCTTCCTCTTCACCATTCTCTGTAGAAAGGGGCAACAATAGAGGCACCATGGACGTACAAGAAGCAATGGCTCGGAGCAATTCCAGCAGAGCTCGATAGAGTGGCACATGTCTTGCCATGTCGAGAACTGTAAGAAGGATGAGGGGGAAAGTATAAAATGAGAACAAGTGCAATCTAACAGTAAGCCCACAGCAACATAGCTTCTCTTTGAATCTTAAGATTAATTGGTAAGTTAGTAAATGGATTAATACCAATGTTTATAAAACACCAATATAAAAAGTATAATAATAAGCACATTTAGGAAACAAAAAGTAAATAAGGCATAGAATTGGGGAGAGACCAAGAATTAAGTAACTATATAGTTATATTGCACATAAAAATGATTAAGTAGTTCAGATAGTACATTATGGCAGTAAATACATTTATTGGTATAAGATGAAAATATATTTTAAAAATTGAAATGATGAAGCCACTGTATCTAAGAAATCAACTACTTTCTCTCTTTAAGGGTTTTTATCATTCCTTTTAAGAATATTAAAGGTAAAATATCCTAATAAATGTACAATTCACTTATTTGTTCCCGTTACCTACCATGAAGTTATGGCTGCAAAGTTTGTTTTGTATAATTTTTTAACAACTCTCTTAATTAAAGACAGTTTATTGAATTAAATTCTTTGAAGAAAAATTTTCTAAATTATATTTTTTAAATTACTAAGTTTGTTACATATAGTTAGCCAACAGAGTTATGTTATGTTATTGATTTCATGATAATCCAGTGTGCTAAAACCAAGTAAGAATACTAAGAGTTCTTTGAGGTCTTTTCTAGTCTGTGTTCTAGGACAGCATAGTATCAAATTAGGGCCCCTCTTCTCCCCACACATACACAAACTAAATATTTCCAGAAAAAAATTTTTAAAAATAAATCTACTAAACTCATTCCTACATAGATTGGGGTAAATCACCAAGTATTTTTACTGTTTAAACTGATGACAAAAAAATTAAGCAAAAGTACTTGCCCACAAAGATATCTCAGAAAAATATTAAAACATGATTTACCTGAATCATTTCTTAGATAAGATGACATGGCAGGGATGAGGCAGGACTGACTGAGAAGCTCCAGAAGTACAGAAGGAAGGGCATTACTGTTCTGTCCTCTGCTCTCATGAGATGATTGAGCTTCTCCATTTATTGCACCACACATAGGATTTATATAACTTGCAAGAACCTAAAAAAAAAAAAAAAATTTGCTGGACTTAAATTGGATTTAAGCTTCATATAATTAGAAAGAAATACTGTGTTAGATATTCAGTCTGAATTCCAAGAGTATATATTTTCAACTCAATCTCTTGCACTGTATGCTTTAAAAAGGAGGCATTTTTTCTTTAAACTTTCAAAAGGGAAGGATGTGTTTTGCATGAGGCACCATACAAAGTGGAGTAAAAGTAGGATTACAGTTGTTTATATAGAAAATAATACAACAATAATAATACAAGAATAAACTGTTTCACATACAACTGTAAACCTACCTTTGCCCCACCCTATATAGGACTAGACATACAGAAGCAATCCACCTAAGAACACAAACTTAAAACCTTAGTAGCACCTCTTGAGATTATTTTATTGAATAAATTCACTATACAGTTTGAGGGGCACACAATCTTAGAATTTTATACTAAAATGACCCGTTCATTCTAGAATTGCTGAAAACAAATGCTCAAAGACTTGACCAATATTAATCATTTGATTGATGCACCTCCTTTTCTCATTTCTATGGTATTAAAGACTTTCTCTACTAGTTCAACTTCCCTGACTCTAGAAAAGTTATAGACAGTGTGAGAAACAAAGATATATAAAAGTAGATAAATAATATTGTTTTTTTAAGAGTCCATATTCAACACTTTAGATGAGATTACTGGAAAGAGAGAGATTTTCCGCTTGTTGAATAATTTCATTCTTGTCACTTTACTCCTAGTGAAGAAGTAATTGAGAGGGAAAAAATTTAAAATTACCAGTAGGAAAAAGCAATCTTTATCCAGTGGTCTCTTGAAAGAATTGAGAACAGGGAGCATATGGGCTTCATAAAAGTAGCTGAAGATGATTTGGGTAGTCATCAATACTTAAAAATCAATACAAATACAAAAAATAATTAAACTAATATCACTGTACCTGCAGAAGACAGGTAACATGTTCCTCTTCCAGCCTCTGTTTAGTTAAAGCTTGTTCCACATCCCATCCAGAAGCTGTAGAGCCTGTCCCAAAACCAGTCCCTTTGGCCCAATATAGCTGCTGTTCTTCTGTTGATGTAGGGTTATGAGAGCTTGATACCTGAGGCTTATTACAAAACATAAAAATTTATTACTATTTGGTTTTATTTTTCTTCAAAAATATTTATCAGTAGGAATATAAATAGTTCAGTGTTAATGAAAACAGTTTGAAAATTCCTCAAAAAATGAAATAAAGAATTACTATGTGACCCAGCAATTCCATTCCTAGGAATACTGGTATACCCAAAGAAATAAAATTGATATTCAAATAAATGTACACACATGCTCAAAGGAAGACTACTTACAATAGCAAAAAAATAGAAACAACCCAAACACCCATCAGTGGATGAATGAATAAACAAAGTGACAACAAATACGTATTTATCAACAAGTGAATCTAAAAATCAAATGAATAAAATATCTGATGAACAGAATAAACTGGTGAGTGGAATAGAATCAGTGGCATGGAAATGGAACAGACTGATAATTCTCAGAGGGAAGGGGGGGTGCGGGAAGAGAATAGACAAAGATCTTATATGCATGTATACATTACCTATGGACACAGACAATAGGGTGGCAAGGGCCTAAGGTGGGGTGGGAACTGGGTAGAGGGGAGCTATGGGGGGAAAAAGAGGAACAACTGTAGTAATCTGAACAATAAAGATTTAATTTAAAAAAATTAAGAAGAAAAAAATATGTATGCATTAAGATTCACTATTTGTGCTGTGATGTTCTATGGATTTGGGCAAATGCACGGTGTCATGTGTCCACTACTATAGTAACATACAGAATAGTTTCACCAATCTAAAATATTCTCCTATGCTTCACCATATTCAACTCTCCAAAACCCTTAAACCTCTGGCAATCAGTAAACTGTTTTATTTCTCTGTTGTTTGCTTTTTTCAGAATTTTATATAAATGGATCATATAGACTTTTCATACTACATTCTTTCACTTAGCAATTTGCATTTGTGCATATTACTTCTTTAAGACTTGCTATTTAATTGCTGGATCATATGGTACAACTATGTTTTTGTCTATAAGAAATTACTAAACTGCCCCAGCTGGTTTGGCTCAATGGATAGAGCGTGGCCTGCAGACTGAAGGGTCCCGGGTTTGATTCCAGTCAAGGGCACATGCCTGGGTTACCGGCTCGATCCCCAGTGGGGGGCATGCAGAAGGTGGCCAATCCGTGATTCTCTCTCATCATTGATGTTTCTATCTCTCTTTCCCTCTCCCTTCCTCTCTGAAGTCAATAAAAACATATTTTAAAAAAAATTACTAAACTATCTTTCAAAGTAGCTGTATTTATTTTTCATTCCCTTTACAAATAAATGAGATTCATTCCTGATACTTTCTATCCTTACCAGCAATTAATATTATACATATATTTTATTTTAGTAATTCTAATAGATGGTTTGTTATGAACTGAATGTTTATTTTCCCACAAAATTCATATGTTGAAAGCCAATGTAATGCTATTAGGAGGAGGGGACTTTGGGTAGTAATTAGGTCATGAGGGTTACTTCAATCTTTGAAACTGGTGACTGGGGCATCATCAGTCTTTTAGATCTCCCAATTCAGTCCCTATAAAAAGGTTTTTTTTGGTTGCTTCAACACACATCACCTTAATTAGTAGCTGCCATGAATAGAATTATTGCCCTTATAAGAAGAAACAGGAGAGTGTGCTTCCCCTCCCTCTGCCCTCTGCTCTTACCAGTGAAGGTGAAACAAGAAGATGATCACCTGAAAACCAGGAAGCAAACTGTTCACCAGACAATGAATTTGCCAATTGTCTTGATCTTGCTTTGTTGACAAGCCTCCAGAACTGTGAGAAATAAATGTTGTTTACATTATGCAGTTTATGATAATTTGTTATAGCAGCCCAAACTAAGACAGTTAGTGATATCTCATTGTCATTTTAATTTGCAATTCCCTAATGACAAATTATGTTGAGCATATTTTCATACACTTATTTGTCATCTGTATATTTTCTTTGGTGAGGTGTGTGCTCAAAGCTTTATCCCATTTTTCAAATGGTTTGTTTATTTTCTTATTGTTGAATTTTAAGAGTTCTTTATATATTCTGTATACAAATAATTATGTAGATATGTATTTGCAAATATTTTCTTCTAATCTATAGCTTGTCTTTTCATTCCTCTTAGCAATGTCTTTTACACAGCAAAAGTTCAGTTTTAATAAAGTTTAACTTCCCCCCTCCCCCCCAAATCATGCTTTTGGTGTTGTTTCTAAAAACTCATTCACAGCCCTGGCCAGATGGCTCAGTTGGTTGGTGTGACCACCAGTACACCAAAAGGTTTCAGTTCATTTCCGGTCAAGGCACATACCTAAGTTGTAGCTTCCATCCTCTTTCGGGGTGTGTTGGGGAGGCACATCTCTCTCTCTCTCTCTCTCTCAAATCAATAAAAAACATATCCTCAGGTGAGGATTAAAAAATAAAAAATAAAATAAAAACTTATTCACAAACCTAAGGTCACACAGATTTTCTCTAGAAGTTTTATAATTTTGTGTTATATAGGGTGTCCCAAAATTCACGCAAGAAGTAATTTTGATAGAAAACACAGGTTTATAATTAAAAATTGTAAATTTTTTATTGATTCATAAAGTATACAGTATAGGGTTATGTATAGAATAGCACATCGGGTAAATGGCCTCCACCGTTTTGCTGGCACATATGCAAAGCTGTGGTCTTCATTGGTCTTCATTGTCCCTGCTCCTGGGCCATAATTTGTACTTGGTAATGCTTATCAAATTGAAGGGATTGAAATCAAAGGGCAACAGATATTAGAATCTGATTCAATAAACCAAGTAAAATTAGGCTTTTATTTTTTGTTGTTGTTAATGCTAGCGCAAAATTCAAATCTTGCGTGAATTTTGGGACACCCTATATATTTAGGGCTATGATCCATTTTGAGTTAGTTTTGGTTTAAGTTTCAGGTCTGTGTGCCTAGCACAAATCATCTATCAGCTGCCTGCTGAAGCCAACACTTCTTTCTAAACCCTGGTAGAGCTTCCTCTGCAACAAGCACAATCCCGACCTTGCTGAGGGTGGGCACCGAGTTCAGTCCCGGGCACCTTGAAACCCCTCCCCAACCAGCCCATCCTCAAGCCCAGCGCTCCGCTCCGCCTTAGCGCACTCCCGGCAACCCTTTGGGGCGGACACCAGGCCCTCCCTACCGCAGACTACATTTCCCACAGGCCTCTGCACGTAGTTTTGTAAGGGCTTCGTTGCTGGTGTCGCCTCCAGAGGTGAGTAGGTTGCAGAAATTGAGGAAACGGGCGCGGGGGCGGCACGGGGGCGGCGCGGGCCTAAGTGTGAACCTAGTTGCTGTGACTATGGAATTTGGGACGGTAATTGGGCTCTGGGTTCCCTGATGTGCCCTCCGCACTTCCGCTTCAGGGCCGCACCGATCCGGCGGCCCAGAATGGCTCCCAGTTCAATGTATGAACCCCAGAGTGAAGGCCATCAACAAAAAGATGCAGCCCTGAGAAAAACTAGAGATCACAAAACCACAGCTTAACCATTGCACCCTCCGGAGGAAAGTGGCGTGAATTTGGAGACATATTCCAGCCCTGGTCTTTGTACTCTGGCCTTTCGGTGTGATACCGGGAAGGGGTGCCCCTTTACCCCAGGCTCCCAGATTTCCCTCTAGTATATGTGTGCTGTGTGGGCATGAGGCTGTGACCTGAGTTAGCCAGCCTGGGCTGAGCTCCAAGAAAGGCTCACTGTCCCAAGATTCCTGTCTCCTTCTCCAAACCTGCTGATCTTTAGGAAAGCAGGGAGAAAGGAATATATATATAT